TTTGCTTACGTTTGCAGATGAAACCATATTATGAGCCATGTTGGGTCTCCATGTCCTCCCCAGAAGTGTAAGGTAGTATTACATCCAGGCCTGGGGAGCTTTGCACAAGATGTGAACCTGTTAGAGCGGGTCCAGGGAGGCAATGAGGATGCTCAGAGGACTGGAACACCTCTCCTGTGGAGAATGGTTGAGGGAGCTGGCCTTGCTCAGTCTGGAGAAGAGAAGGCTCAAAGGAACCTCACTGCTTCCTTTCAATGCTTAACAGAACTTAAAGAAAGATGGAGAGAGACTTTAAAAAAATGTTTGTAGTGATAGAACAAGAGATTTCAAACTATAAGAATGTAGATTGAGAATAGATATTAGAAAGAAATTCTTTACTCAGAGGGTGGTGAAGCACTGGAAGCACTCAAAGAATTTGTTGGTTGGTCGGTCCTCATCCCAGCTTGGATGGTCCTTCCAATTCAAGCTGTTCTTTGATCTTGTCATTAGTCATATGGATGCCAGAGAATGGTGAGATGTACCTTTCCTTGGCATTTCCCATTCTCTACGCTGGCAGTTCTAGACCTCATCCTGGCTATCCTCTCTGATGGAGCAAGTAGGTGATGTGTTCTCTCACAGACTCACATGGCAGGATTGCCACCTGCTGTGTGGCTTTAGTCATTTACACAATGTAGTTCAAAAATCCCCTCCATCCTTCTTATAGACAAAACTGGAGGTCCTCCAGGACCTCATAGACACAGGCTGGTGGAGTGTGAGTAAGATGGTTGGGCCTGGGACACAGAGCCTATGAAGAAAAATGAGGTGAGATGGGCTTTGTCAGCCACGCAAAGAGGAGAGTGATAGGGATCAAACAGTCAGAGCAGACTGCAGACAGTTACATATGGGAATGGATGTCACTGGTTTTCAGTGGTGCCAGAAAACACAAAAGGCAAAAAAGCCACCAAGTGTGTTTTGAGGCAGTCAGGATGGTCACTGGGACAAACTGCTATCAGAAGAGGTTGGAGTAGCACTGGTACAGGTTACCAGAGAGCACGATCTCTTCCTTATAGAGATTCAAAATTTCACTGCATATAATCCTGACTAGTGTGTTCTTTGAGGTCATCAGATTTCCAGGGCTATGTCACAGAGTCACAAAAGCACAGGATCACTGAGGTTGGAAGTCGAGTTCAACATTTAGGACTGGGTCAGCTGGAAGCAAGTTGTCCAGGACCTTGTACAAGAATGGTTTTAATTTTGATCTCACTTTTTCAGTGCAGTCTGTAGGAGAAGAGTGAATTGTCTGATATAGAACACATATGTGAACCATAAAGAAATTGTACGTAAACGTGGAGTACAAAGGGCTGAGTAATACATAACCTCTTCTGTTTTGTATGGTGGTAGACAACAGTTTGGAAACAGGAGGATTCTTAGCAACTTTCAGGCTTGTTCAAAAGATCAAAGATGGGATGGGATTCTGTGGCTGAGTTCAAATTTACAGCTGCACAAAACCAAAACAACTCAATACACTTCATGGGACTTTACTGCTTTGAGTACTGAAGTAGCAAATAGCGCAGAGCCCCATTCATGGTAACGAAAAGCACCTTTTCATTGGGGACCACTTTTTGATTGCACCCACAGAATAATCGTGATCACACAGTGGATTTCTATCTTTTATCTTTGCTGTAGACCACGGAATTTCTTTAGTGCATATCACCCCTTATTGGAGTAGCACAGTGTTTGCAAGCCTGCAGCTTTTACTGGAATTGTCTGTGCACAATCCCAGTCATGCTGTGCTGCAGGGATTAGTGGGGACAGCACTCCAGATCCAGCTCTCTGCATAATGATTTGCGTCACCTATCACCCTGCTTGGGAGCTCTGGTAATTCCCAGAGAAATCTGGATTCACACATGGTCTGAAGCAAATATAATCCTCGAAAAGAGAGGTTCATGATATCATTCCCTTCCCCTTCCACAATTCCCAACCCTGTAAGTTGAAATTCACTGTCAGTGTGCATCACAATCCCTGTGATACTGAGCCTGTGGAGTGGAATAGCAGTCTCTCAGTAGGCTGGCATTTCACACATTTATTTTATGTTTTACCCAAAAAACGAAGCTGTGAGTCGCAGTAGTGATGATTCATTCCATAACCAGGCTTCATAAAACTCTTGCTCAGTGGAGGTTTGGCTACAATTTTAGTTTCATCTTTGTGGAGCTACACAAGGCACACGATCGCACAGCACTGGAACACTCCGTCTAGGACTATTAACCTTAATTTGGGGTTAGCAGTAATGCGAGAAACAAGTATCATGCAGGTGCCTGACTCTACTGTACAACAGAAGGTCAGAAAAATTATTTTTCCTTAGGAGAAAGCCTATAGACCACTGGGGAGCTCATCACTTTCAGCATCAGTTTTAGAGCTGAGCCAGGGTGGGTCACTGCACATGTTGAAGAATGCATTATAATCACAGAATCATTAAGGTTGGAAAAGACCTGAAGGAAAGTGGTGCTTAGGGATGTGGTTTAGTGGGCAATATTGGATAGCTGGACTGGATGACCTGAGAGGGCTTTTCCAACCTGACTGATTCCATGATTCTATAACCTCCAAGATCATCCAGTCCAACCTCAACCCACCTCTACCACCTCCCTCAGTACCACATCTCTGTGTTTCTTGAACATCTTCAGATAAGGTGACTCCACCACCTCCCTGGGCAACCTGTGCCAGTGCATCACCACTCCTTCTGAGAAGAAATTGTTCCTAACATCCAACCTGGACCTCTCCTGGAGCAATGTGAAGTCATTACCTCCTGATGCTGTTACCTGGGAGCAGAGGCTGACCCCACCTTGCCACAACCTCCTTTCTTGGAGTTGTAGAGAGTGATGAAGTCTCCTGAGACTCTTCTGCTCCAGCTGAACCACCGCTGTTCCCTCAACTTCTCCCCAAAAGACTGTGCTCCAGACCCTTCATAGCTTCACAGTGTCCTCTGGACGCTAGAATATTGGATACACCAGCATCTCTGATATCTCCAAATCTTCTCTGTCGGTTGTTCTCAAGATTAATTGAGTATTACGTCAGAAACCTCTGCATCCAACCTCAAAGACCTCTCTGCCAGACAGAAATCATACTTCATTGACTTCATTTTGCAAGCAGGAGGAAATGGGACAAGTTATGTTGAAAAGTTTGTGTGTAAAACACGATGATGATTTAGGGTAGAACCACAAAGCAGGTTACTGTAAGACAAGGCCAGTTGGAATCTACTCTTCAAATCTGGAAGATCCTGGTGTTGGACACCAACAGTTCCTCAGTAATCCTTTGGGACACACACCTTTGCTACATGGCAGAGGAGCTCTTCTTCGTGGCCTCTAGCCAGAAGATAGTTGATAACTCTTTGCATACTTTTCCTCCTTTGCTGACCTTGAGTTTTATGGCTGGAGTTTATGGAGTTGACGCACGCTAACGTTCTGACAAAGATTTCCTAGCATTATCTTTTCCTCTAAGCATATGTCAGATTTCCCTGACAGAGATAACATCTTCAAGACACACATTTACAAATATTTATGTGAATTTCCAGGTTTACATCCACAAGCAAAATACTTTTCTAAATTATGCTTACTACATTATCTCACACTGTAAGAAAAAAATTGGATTTGTTTTCAGCTTCCGAAATAAGGGCCATTGATTCAATAGGAAAAGCTCCTTAATAATTCAAAGAAGATACAGCCTAAAGGAGAAAAATAAAAAAGGAAAGAAAATGATATCTTCAAGCATTGTTGGGTTCATTCCCTCAGTTCATTGCCTATTTTCCAAAATAAGTAAAAAGCACAAAAGGAACATGAGTTTCTGTTGCGTTATACAAATAGGAAACAAATTACTATAAAACTTTCCCTTGCACATGAAAAATATGGAATTGAGTCTTACATGACATATAAGCAAAAGAGTCCTCGCAATAAAGCTAGATCCTGTGATTTTTTTTTGGGTTGCAAGGGGAAAACAAACATCTTCCTCTCTTCTCCTCTTCCTCACTTCTCTCCCATAGGATCTTGAACCCGACCATGAAATACTGTAGGAATCTGGGAGTAGGAAGGGAGTTCCACAAGCAAGATGTCCTAAAATTGGATGATTCATGCACAGAATTGCTGTGTTTACTGTCATCCATATTGCCAGAAATCCAAACTGTAGAAATTACTTTGTCAGCAATTCAGGATTAGTCATAAATCTGTTACATTATGCAGGAATCTTTTATTTTTACTGCTTTTTTTTTTTTTTTAATTAGAAAATTAATGTCTTCTTTTTATCAACATTTATCCTATATCCAAATGGATAGAAATAGTCATGAACCAGCAAAAGAGCCTTAGATACAATCAAAATAGTTTATTGTTGAACTTGGTATAAAATTCATCTAATAAAAATTACTATTGCAGTTCCCCTCCTGCAAATGCCTGAATGGCATTTCAAGAACACGACACGAATCATAAAGAGAAAAGGATGTGGAAAAAGGGACTGAGAAAGCATAAACCTGTCTATCAGGGAAGAAGCTGCAGTTTTTTGTCTGCGCTGATAACCTTGAATCCCAGGGTAAAGACATGAACATAGAATCTTACCACAGAATCACAGAATGGCTTAGGATGGAGGATGGCTCCAATCTCTACCATGGGCTGGTTGCTCCCCACCAGCTCAGGCTGCCCAGGGCCCCATCGGCCTGGCCTTAAGCACCTCCAGGCATGGGGCATGCACATGGCGGATATTTCTCAGTGTTTCCTTCAATTCTGAGGATTGGATGGATGTAAAGTCTCTACTTCTTAGTCCCCACCTTGAAAAGAACATCCAAGAGTGGGGAAACAGTCGTGAAGAGCTTCCAAGGGCAGGGTGCAAAGGGGCATTTGACTTCAGCTCGTTGTTAGATAGTTTGTGAGCTGTTGCGGTTCAACCCAGCAGGCAGCCAAGTATCACACAGGCGTTCCCTCAATCGCCCTGGGTGGAACAGGGGAGAGAACTGGAAAAAAAAAAAAGATAAAACTCACGGGTTTAGACAAAGGCTGTTTAATAGGACAGAAGAAGAAGGGAAAATAATTATGATAATGATGTTATAAGAATATACAAAACAAGTGATGCACAATACAATTATGTCTATGAGGCTGTTTCAGAAGCGAGTCTCATTGTTGGACTCCATTCCTTCTGGGGTGCCATGTCACCATAAGTCTTGCTTGCCAAAGCCCAGGGTGGTGCTTTGGGAAGTGTGGTGGGACGTGGGATATGCTTCCAGCAATCCAGTGGTTGCTTCCACCACTGTAAGCACATGGCACTTGCCTTGGTGGGTTTGTGGGAGCGTGATATAATCACTCAGAGGCATTTAATGATAGCTGATGTATAAGTTCCAAAGCAAGGAGAGCAGTCTCTGTTACATCAGGCATGTCAAGACATCGTTTAGGCGTCTCTACAGGAAATACAACAGCAGTGCATCATGTCTGCAACCTCATCTCTGGGCATAAGCACACGTAACTGGCCTACAGAGAGAATTTGCATTGAGTGTATTGTTTCTCTAGCCCAGATTAAATACTTAAACATATGAGGGCGTTAAACATATGAGGAAACCCATACAGCAGCAACCATGGCTGATTGTAAGGCAAGGCTCATGTTATTCCGTATATTTGCCAAGGAACTGAAATTGTCTGAAAAAAGGCAGGGAACCATATTTGCTGATTAGGTTTCTAGGCCTTTAGTGATGGTACCTACATGAAATTAGAGCGGAGGAACTACACACAGAATAAAATCAGGGAGAGAAACCAAGAGGGACAAGGTGCCAGGAGATTTACTTTCCAACCCTCTCAAAGAGACATCCAATATCAAGACTGTTTGAGCAAACAGGAGAAGGAGGTCACTCTGCAAGAGGACCCAGCTTCATACCAGTGATGGTGTGGAAGAATAAACACTTTGAAGTCTTTGACTGTGCTAGTATGCTTAACCTTTGCACTTCCTGCAGGATTTCCATGCTGTACAGCCATTACCACACTTTGCAGTTAGGCTACTTAAATTAAGCGGGCTGGTCACAAGAAGGGAGAAGGGAATGAATTTGTTGCTTTGCAGAATTCTTAGAGGTGCATCTACCCTCAGTGTGCATCTATCCTACTCCCCAGGGGAATGCATTTTCAGTTCCCATCCTCACTCAAGAGCATGCACCAAATAGGTATTTATCTGCACAGATACTGTGCCCCAAATACTCATACACATTTCCACATGTTCCTGCACTTAAATACCACACTCACACACCTAAATATCACACTCAAATATCACACTCACTCTATGCACTGAGACAGTGACAAGCTTGATTCCACCTGGAATGTACCAGTACGTGCTCATATGACCCTGCTCACAGTAGCATGCTTCATCTTTTACAATTAAGTGCTACAAAATCCATAGTGTGACCACAGCTTTTGCAGAAATCCATGGAGCCAAGAAAAAACCATACTGTTTTAAGCTTTTTACACAGTTTACTTGATGTGAACATGGAAAGAAATGGAATCCCACTTCTCAGGTATCACAAGCAGAGCCTGGTATCATGCTGGTGCTGTTTTTGAGCAAATCCATTGAAAAAATCTTGGTCATGGGAGGTGAGGTCACCAACAGCCCTGAAAGAGACACAAAGGAATTTCCCAGCCCTCTGATGGCTCCAGTCAGTCACCACAATGGCCACTATATAGGCATTTTAATTGTGAAGACATAAAACCTGTTTGGTTTGGTTTGGTTTTTATGGCATCCAAACACCATTCATCCACCTCATTTCTACCTGTTTTTTTTTTCTTCTTTTTTTTTCTGTAGGCATCCCCATTGCTGGCCAAACTGCCATGCAGGAACAGGGATGGCAAGCCATTGCAGTCATTTCAGAAGTGAGACATGATCTATTTGTTGGAAATAATAGTCATTTGTCAGTATATTTCCCAATTAATGGCATCCAAAAAGCCACACAGAAAGAGAGTCTGGAAAGATGCAGATTTGGAGCCACCCCTCAGGAATAGTCAGAAAAGAAGAGGGGACATTTAGCTATAGAATACAGGTTTACGAAGCACACGCACCACGTTGTATGTGTTCAGCCCTGGTGCATCAAAGCCAGGAGACAAACCCTTGCGATCAAATGGATAAAAATTAAAGAGCTGCCCATTCTGGGTCTCCAGTGAGATGGAGGCAGAGCCCAGATGCAGAACACACGGGAACTCCTTGTCAAACACAACTTGGAAGACGCGATCTTCCAGATGATGGAGCTTGATTGTCCGATATTTCTCAGGGATCAGCTCTTCAGCATGAGGCCCAAACTGCTGCATGACCAGCACCCCACCGCGTCCAACTTTGATCTCATAGAAAGTCAGGTTGGAATAGGTGTAATAGCCAACAAAAGGGACTGGGTTTGGGGGAGGAGTCAGCGTTTTCTCTGCCTCTCTGAACGCAGTCTCCATGGCAGTGATGAGATACTCGTATGTCTGGGTCACAAGATCTCCACCCTGAGGCCTGGGCCCAGCCATCAGTACAATGAAGCTCAGGCGGAGCTTGGGGATCAGTGAGAAAGTAGCTGAATAGCCATCAAGGTCTCCATCCTTCCTAATGACATCATATCCCAATTGCTCATTAATCTCCCAGGGCGTTCCAGTCTTGTTGGCAAAGTATTCAGTGGAGCATTTAAACAGAGGTGTCAGCATTGTCTTCACTGTGTCAGGCTCTAGGAGACGACGGTGATAGGTGCCTAAAAACACCATTGCCAGCTTGGCAAGGTCAGCAGCTGTAGAGTACATCTGTCCAGAAGGTCTGTACCAGCCGAGGTCGTAGAGAGGGGCTGGCAGCTGGCTGCTGTAGAAACCCACCGCCATCTGGGAGCGGATGGGCGGCGTGATGTCAAAGCCAGTGTCCTCCATGCCCAAGCGGTCCAGGATGTTCTCTGAGATCCATCGCTGGTACTGTCCGTCAGCTGCATGGTCAGCTAGCACGTGTGCCATCAGAGAGAAGGCCAAATTGCTGTAGTGGCATCTGGAAAGAAAGACAGAAGCGTAGAATTATTTGAGTTGGAAGGGACCCTAGAAGGTCATGCAGTCCTGCATCAGCCTTACTTTAGTTACACAGGGTGGATATGATTTTGCAAATAACAGTGGCTGGGTCTCTCTCCTCTGGGGAAAGATGCTACTTTCATCAGATCACGTGCTAAAGGGAGAGCAGTGATGGGGCTGTGATAAAGTGTTAATGTCTTGATTTTTCTTAATTCAGGAGACAGAAGTTTCTTTTGTGCACATCAGCTGAGCTGTTTAACTGCTACACACAGAAAGAAGGCCGAAGACAGAAAACTTTAGGTGAAAACTTATATTTGCATATTCTGACTTATTGTTCATCACTTTTCACCAAAAGAATGTGTTCATTCTTTTCAAGAGCAGAGTCAAGAGGTACAGGTGCTTACTTTAAAGGTCTCAAAATCCCAGACGAGTCTCTGGAGATTTAACATGGTGCAATAACTTCAGGACCTAAGCTATCTTAAGACAGTAAAAGCACTTAAAAAGCACTTATAAGTCTCAAAAGCAGAATCCAGTAATGTTGAGTGATTAAAGACATCAAAGTGTAAGTCTTTAATATCCATAACGGGCATTGAGTTTTTGCACTTGAATTAAGTTTAATGACATAAAGATATGAATGGGTAATTTTCTTTCAAACACTTTTTCGAAAATCATGTTTTTAACATATTTGATATGTTAAACATCTCCTCTTACTGAGGCCTACTAAGGTCATAAATTTGGTACCATTTTAGCCAATTCCAGCAAATTTCTCATGACATATAATTTGCCACAGGAATAAATCCATGTTGGACTAAAAATTTATGTCTTAAATTGACTGATGTTCACCTTTCCAAAAAAATATATTATAGTAGAATCATAGAATATGCTGAAATTAAAGGGACCCACAAGGATCACTGACTCAACTGCTGGCTTCACGCAGGGCCACCCAAAATCCAAACTCTGTCTGACAGCGGTGCCCAAACCCTCACATTTGAAGATCCCTCCTTCCTTGAAGCAGTCAGCGGTTCCTTCTAATTTAGAATCATCCACAAACTTTCTCAGTTTGCATTTGAGTTTTGCATCCAGATCATTCATAAAAACATTAAAGAGAACTGGCCCCAAAATGGAGCCCTAGGGAAACCTGCAGTGACTGACTGCCAGCCTGATGGAACCTCATTTACTGTAAGCCTTTGAACCCGACCCATAAGCCAATTTTCTAAGATTACATACTTCATGTCATCATGAGTCTTCAGAAGCTCTAAGCAAATTATTTGAGAATATAATTTTTAAAAAATTGAACACTTTTGAAGAACTTTTCCCAGTTAGTCTAAATCTTTTCCCTCACTCACTGTCCAGTGGATCTTGTTGGAGCTTGATGATCCTTGAGGTCCCTTCCAACCCAGGCTATTCTATGATCCTATGATTCTATGATTGTTCATATTTTTCAGTGTTTGACTGCAGTTCAAGTAACAGACTTAGCACTATACAAATTGCAGCAAGTATCTGATTCAGAGACATGCAGATTTCTACAGATACAGGGTAAATTTCAGTAGGACTTTTTGACGGGACAAAGGGGAATAACTTTAAACTAAAGGAAGAAATATTTAGGTTAGATGTCAAGGTGAAGAGTGGTGAGGTGTTGGTGTATGCTGCCCAAAGAAGTGGATGGCCTGTCCTTGGAGGTGTTCAAGGCCAGGCTAGATGGGGTCTTGGAAAGCCTGATCTGGTGCCTGATGTAGTGGGTGGCTGGCAACCCTGTCCATGGCAGGGGGTTGGAACTAGGTTATCTTTGAGGTCCCTTAAAATCCAAGGCATTCTACAATTCTGTGAAAATAAATGATGGTTTAAACTGACTAGGTTAATCTGCCTGATCACTGTTGTAAATCTGCAGATTGACAGTTGAAGGATCATTGGACAGAAGTACAACAATTTCTTTGCCCCATCTGGGGGCATTTCCAAAAGTAACTCTTTCCAACCTAAAACAGATGTATTTAGAAACACAGACTCATGGAATGGTTTGAGTTGGAAGGGATCCTTAAAGGCCATCAGGTCCAACCCCCTGCAATGAGCAAGGACACCCACAGCTCCATCAGTGCTCAGAGCCCTGTCCAGCCTGACCTTGGGTGTCTCAGGGATGGGGCACTCAGCACCTCTCTGTGCAACCTGTCCCAGTGCCTCACAAATACATCTATTTGTAGATGGATGATCTGAAGCTCCCTCTAGGAATAGCAGTCTTTTTCCATTGGTCATGGACTCAACCCAAAAGCTCTTAAGTGAAAATATCTGACCTGGTTCCAGGATCAGCCACCAAGACATCATCCTTCAGGAGAGCCAGAGCTTCTTGTGTGTTGCCCTTCCACAGCAGGCTGGTAGATCGCAGCCTCCTGGGGAGACCTGTACGTGGAGGAGAAACATTCAACAATTTGGCACAAGTTGAGGTCCAATGTCCTGGTCTGGCTGGGAGGAGTTAATTTTCTTCATTGTAGGTAGTGCAATGCTATGTTGTGGAATTTGCACGAAAATTTTCTAAAAATGAATTCTCCAAATATATTTTACCAGGACTTTCTAAAATGCCACAGTGCCTTTGCACGGAGCCTATTGGCTCATCGATCCCAGGTTGGGATATGAATTAATTGGGATAGAATTAGATAATTTTTGCAGTTTACTGCTGATTTTCACTCAGAAGCTAAGAGAAAATCAGGAAGGGTACATGGCATAAAAATGAGCATGAGCTTAATTATGGACAAGCTGAATGAGGCCCTTTTCTTTTGTGTCAGCAGGACTGGTTTTTCTGAATTGGCCTGACTTTGGGATTTGAACTGGAAGAAAAGCTCTTTTTCTGCTTCTATTCCAGGGCTATCTGTGCATCCTAATGACTAGATAAGAGATGCACTTAGCATATCTCAGCAGATAATGGGCTTTCTACTGGAGGAACTGATGTGAAAAAACACTTCACAATATCCTAGAGTCACAGAATCATTGAAGTTGGAAAAGACCACTGAGATCATCTAGTCCAACCATCACCACAATGCCCACTAAACCATGTCCCTCAGTGTCACGTGGTGGCTTTCATATTGCAGAACCTCCTCCTTCTTGTTTTGTTTTATTTTTACAGCCAGGAAATATAACAGGTGACCTCAATGTTCATTTAATTTTCAGTTGAGCTTTTGAAATTGGGCTTCTGCAGCATCAGACTGTCAGCATCCAAGTTGGTTGCTGTGCCCTGATGGTGTGCTGTACATAAATATGTTGGGGAACTTGGAGATAAAAACCAACACAGAGAGAAGCAATATCTGTATTTTATAAACACGTTACAACCAGGTATGCTTCCTCTAAGTATTTTTAGGACATATCCTACATTGGGCTGGCTTCAGGTGATGCTCTGCTCTATACTATTGCAATTTGCCTGCAGGTTATTTTAATCAAAGCTTCTAATTTGGGTTATTTTATTCTCAACTGGAATAATGCAGTGTGTAATCTCAGCGCTGCAGGAAATCTCAGCACAGTCTTTTTGGCAGTAAATTCTGGAATCCCCACGTTGAGTATTAACAGCTCTATTTCAAAGAGGTTAAAGATCTCCTGGGTCCTGTGAGCTCCTTCTACCACAACATAAGAGTTACACAAGTATGAAAGTAGCAGCAGATTAATAGTCTTCTGCCAGCAAGTACAAAGCTATTAATAGCTCAGGAATCCCAGATCAGGAAGCACGCTGACAGCTATATTTAGGTCCACAATCAAGGTCTATCTATTCAAAGCAAAGAGGTTTGGTGCCACTTTGACCCTCACCTCTACTTCTTAGAAAAATGAGAGCATTCTGGGCTGGAGTGCAAAAACAGTTATGCAATTTGAAAGTGGTTTCAGGTCAAGCTACTGTGTTGAAAGACACATATATTCACCTTGCATGGGAAAAGCAATTCCCCAGCCCACAGTGCTGCTTGGCCCCTTTCCGAGCAGGTGGCCTGGAGAAGACTCCATTTATCACTGGGAAGTGCAGAGGTGCAGAGCCCATGCTGGTAAATGGTGTCAAGAGCAGACTTTCTTATTCCTGGCATCTGATCTGTTCTCTCCGTGGCCTCTTTCAGATGGCAGGCAGGGAGTGAGCAGTGCTGTCTCACCTGAGAGCTGGCTGGCCATTCTGCGCAAGGTAACAGGCGATGGCTTAAGTGGCATCGAACCTTTTTCCACAAAGATCAGCCCATCTGCTGTGTATCTCTGTTCTGATTCCCTGAACCTTCCCAAAGGGTTTTTAATAGCAAAGTTCTGGGCGTAACGTTCCAAAGGGTCATCCAGAGACGTGACTTTCCCTTCCTCCCACATCTTGTACAGCATAAGGGTTGGAAAGATCTTGGAGACGCTGGCGATTCTGTGCAGGAATAAATGTTCATAAAAAGTAAGCATTAAGAAACCCACGAATCAAAAAGTTAGGTGCTCACTACATTAGATCACCAAAGTGATCTGCATACAATACCTCTGGTTAATTCAGAACAGAATGACTAACATGCAGGAAAGTAGATTGGGTTAATATCCTTAAATCTGGCCTTCATGGACTGCTACACTGTTCAGTATTCTGCACTGAGTAATAGGTCTTTCAAATGTGTTCTGGCTAAAGAATGTATTTTAAATGATGTTTAAATGATTAAAAGCAATACCAGTAGTGCAGCTGACTTTGTGAACTTTGTTCACTTAGTATTTATAAGACGACATATTTTGTAAATTATTCCTTACTAAACATCACAATAAATTGCAAGTCATTTCTTGGAATTTTAAGATTTAAATGCCACAAAATCTTGCATTTCGTATTCAGATTTGCTATTTAGGTGGCTTCCAAACAGTTAAATTTGAAGAAGGTCTTCTGGAAGAAAGAGTGCGAGGTCCTCTCTGCAGGTATGCTGTGGTGATAGAGGCAGGGGGGTAAGTTAATCACAGCTGCTGAAGCTTTTCAGAACTGTTTACTCTAAGGATAACATTTGATAGCATGCAGACCATGTGTTTCATGTACAGCACAGTTATTAATCACTGAAAATAGGTCTTTAAAGAAAGCAAATACTTCTTGTTTTCTTTTTGTTATGGTTTTTACCACACACTAAGAGCTTTATTCTGTTTTCATCTAAAATACAATAGCCCATATGGCCTTGGCTTCGTTAGTATGCAGCCTACTTCATACATTCAGAATATAGTCTTCCAAAATCCTATTTATTTATTTTTTAATATATGTATGTGGCACTGTGTTCTTACTGTTCTCAAAATGTGTGCTAGCTCTCCGTGTTCAGATTTATGCCCTAGAGCTTCTCAAAGAACAGAGACTTTCCCATGTGAGAAGAACCTTTTGTGGGTCTCCAGGAAGTTCGCAGTGACTCCATTCAAAGTCAGATCCAACCAAACCAGATCAACAGAAAATAACAACAAAAATTAAAAGAGAGGAAAAAAAGGAGAACAATTCAGTGAGTTACAAGCACATAATTTAGTGACTAGTGATAGCATTGTCTCTCAAAGGTTCAGTGTGACCCAGAAGTTTTTTCAGAATATACTGGGCCTGCGGCAAGAAAAGTCATGGTTTGTGACAGTGGTTCTGTTCCCAAAGTTGTGACTTTCCCTTCCTTTCCTTTATGTGTAAAGGAAATTTTCTCCTTTTATCCCTCATGCCTTCAGTACCTCTGTCTCACCTGTAAATAGTGTACTCATTGGGCACCACTGAGAAGGGATCTGAAGCATTCTTCTTCCCAAAGTTGCCTGTCCAGAGCACAGTGTCATTGTAGATAACGATGGCAGACATGGCAGGTAGACCAGAGGTATGAATCTTTTGGCGTAGCATCAAGTCTACCTGGAGAACAATGGGAAATGATGAATTACCAAATCAGGAGTCTTGTAATGTATATAATGTGCAAAAGGTGCAGTCCTGTTTAAACTGCACTCATAGAAACAGTACTGAATACATTGAGGGCTGTGATTTCTCTTCCCTTCCTGTTCTTCCAGGTCTGTATGGACCCAATTAGCCAAAGTGGTCTCCCCACAAGCAGAATGTATTGCTTTTTTTGACTTTTTCAAAGCAATACTTGTGTTGGATATTAGGAAAAAATTATTCTCAGAAAGGGTGGTGAGGTACTGGAAGGGGCTGCCCAGAGAAGTGGTGGAGTCCCCATCCCTGAAAGTGTTGATGAAACATGGAGATGTGGCACTGAGAGACACGGCTAGTGGGCATGGTGGGGGTGGATTGAAGTTGGATTTAGTGTTCTTAGTGGTCTTTTCCAACCTTAATGATTCTACGATTTCATCATTACACATAAGTTATCTTTTGCATAAAATTATCAAGACAAAAGAAATGGCCCTCCAAGAGTAGTGTTTGAGACAAGAATGGGCAAGCCAAATAATGTCCTCAGAATCTCCTCTCTGGATGAGTGGGTAAGGTGGCCAGGTAGCCAGCAATGGAAATAACCACCTTGCTCCAAGACCTCATATACCATCGTGGATATGATAGCCAAGTAAAGTATCACACCCACTCGAGCTGCAGATGGAGGTAGAAAAGCCAGAACATCCCAGGGAAGGTCAGACAGACTTCAGTGTTGAGACCAGTTCCAAACATTACTCTGGGTCTTATCTTCCAACATGACACTAAACATCAGCACTGAGAATGGGTCTTGTTGCCCTCCCTACCTTGGTTTTCAAAGTGATGTTTGCATTAATAAATGTACAACCCTAGTTCCAATGGGAGTGCTGGGCATTTCCCATATACTGGCTATCAGGAGGTGGATGCTGAGAGATGGAACCAAGGATCTCACGTTCCATTAAGAAGAGATCTCAGCTAAGGTGAGATCTTTAATGTGAGTTCAAGTGTCCATAGACATAGGCAGAACCTGAGAGCATCTGAAGATACAGTCTTCAGGTGATGGTGCCTAAGACCCCTTCCAATTCCTGTGTCTTTCTGTGTATACAGCGTTCAGGTTCTCCATGCCTTATATCATTTGTGAAATAGGAAGAGTTTTACCACATGCAATCTGAATGCTGTCTAGAGTTCTGATTCTCTGCATCTCCACAAGTATGGTAGAATAGGATAATGTTCAAATAAAAGCAAAAATAGTGATCACAGCAGTGAGAGAGCTTCTCTGTTATGATTATTTGAGCAAGGGCTCAGCAGCCTGGGAAAAGAGACAAACGAAACTTTGTATTATATGATGGAGGTGCATAAAATCCAAGGTGCCTTGTCAGAATGTGGCTCATTTGTACATTCAGATGACCTCCACCTCCTCTGTGCCCTATGTTCTTATTCTAAGACACTCAGGGTCAAAATGCATATTGGTTCCTTCAGAACAGCAGTCACAAACTGCATCAGCCCAGTTCCCTCCTCACAGACCTTCTCCAATGCTTCCTTCAAAATGGGGATTGGGTGGTCCAGTGGTACTGGTTCAGGGTAGCGTGGGCACATCTGCACAGATTCTGATCTTACTTCCATCACAGATGGGTCTGGAAAACATTTCACAGACAATATACATGATTTGAAAAGATATACTGACAAACTTTAACCTCTTCCAGCAGCCAGCACTAGCTTTATTCATTGTATCATCCAAAACTGAAGGACACTTCAGCACACACAGAGAGAATCATGAATTGTGTCCTCGGATAATACAGGACTTGAAGGGAGCACTGTGCTCTGCTATTGTTCATTCCAATGTGATACAACACATGGGACAAATAGAAGCTGCTACAGAATCATAGAATCATTAAGTTTGGAAAAGACCTCTAAGATCATCCAGTCCAACTGTCCACCAATCACCAGTGTTGCCCACTAATAGGTTCCAACTGACTCTGCAATCAGGAATGAGAAACTAAGAGGCTGGGACTACAGAAGACTATGGAGCATACTTGTCAGTGGATGTAGACCTGGTGAAAGTGCACTGCCAACGTACAGGGAAAGATCTGTGCTTGGTTTCAAGAGGAAAGCAGTCCCATGCATATTGCAACTTCAGAGAATGGATGTAGAAATGAATTGTGAGTGCCACCTGAAATCTAACATTTAACAATGGTTGGTGGAATACATGCATTGCTGTCATGGTTTTATGACTGTGCTACACGTGAACTGTTGACAATTCCACAAATGAGTTTATCAGCTGTCCTCTGAATTAGCAGCATCTTGCATATTCTAGATATGCCTTAAATTTGGAGGGCAAGCAAAGACTCGGTGTGAAATGATAACCCTTCTACTTGGAGCCACTGCTTTCCCAGTTGATCCCAAGGGTCTCAGAAACACGGCTCCTTTGCTCTTCAAGTTCTTCATGCTTCTCTGAGCATAAAGCATTAGAAATACAGATGAGAAGATGAATAGCAGTACAGGAGCTTTGAGCTGACTGGGAGCCTACAGCAGCCTAAGATATTCTGCAAAAAAAAAAACAACCAAACCCACACATTTGAAATCTTTCTAGACATTATTGGTCTATGAAGTACATCTGTCACCCTCACTGTGGATTTCATGCCACCTTTAGGCTACTTAAAACTCTGATCCAGCTACACTGTCTATATTACATCTTTGCACATACGGTGTCTTGAGTCTGTCTGCTGAGTTTACAATACATCAATAAAATTCCAGTGTGAAAACTGGGAGCTCATGCCAGTTCAAAGATCTTACAGGAATAGCAAAGGAAGCAAACCCACAGGGAATGTGAATTAAAGTGCCTTTTCCCTTGATATACCGAATAATCTATGTTAAAGATGGGCCAGAACGAGGACTTGGAGAACTACATGCCTGTCAGTTTGGCTTTGATACTGGGGAATGTTATGGAATAGATCATCTTGAGTGCCATCATGCAGCCCATACAGGGCAAACAGGTGATGAGGACACTTGCCACGGGTTTATGAAAGGCATGTCCCACTTGACCAACCTGATCTCCTTTTATGAGAAAACGACCTGCTTAGTGGATGAGTGAAAGGCTACCAAGATTTTCAGTAAATCTTTTGTCAGTTCCCCACAGCTTTCTCATGGAGAAACTGGCTGCTCATGGCTCAGATAAGCATACATTTCACTGGGTGAAGAACTGGCTGGATGGCTGGGCCCAAATAGTTGTGGTAAATAACGTTAGCCTAGAGAAAAGACAGCTCAGGGGAGACATTATTGCTCTTCTAACTACTTCAAAGAACGCTGTAGTGAGGTGGGGGTGGTCAGTCTCTTCTCCCCAGCAAACAAGTGACAGAACACAAGGACTTTGTTTTGCTGGGTATGTTTAGATTGGATATCAGGAAAAACTTATTCACTGAAAGGGTTGCAAAGCATTGGAACATTGCCCAGTGAAGTAGCTGAGTCACCATTCCTGGAAGCATTTAAGAGATGCGTGGATGTGTCACTGAGGGACGTGGTTTAGTGGCAGACTTGGCAGTGCTGGGTTAGCAACCGGACTTGATGATCTGAGAGGATTTTTCCAACACAAATAATTCTGAGATTCTATGAAGGTCAGAAGTATTGGCAAATCCATCAGGAACTGAAAATGTTCCTCCCCACCTCAATTTTCTTTTGTGTGTGAGCTCCTTTGGAAGAATTAGACGGTACCCCATCAACCCAATTTTCTGTGTTCTTGCACCAGCTAATGTGGTAAACTTGAGTGCAGTCAGCTCTATAGGGTAAAATGTCCACAATGGGAGAAAGATCAAGCTTAAGGCTGTCTACTCACTGGGTTCCACCTTGGGGAGGCTGTACTGCCACAGAAAGCAGCCTGTCATAGCAACAGACAGCAGGAAGAAGAAGATGACCAACACATGAATCCACTTCACTTCCATAACAGAGAGCTTGAGGAGGCCTCGACTGCTGGATGCTTGCTGAAAGCACAAAAGACATGATCTCAGAGGGAGTAAAAGAGAGGGAAAAACAGTCTTGCTTGGATATTGGATAGGTGAAAAAGGCACATGCAGACAATACAGCTGCTGTAGCGACACGGACTAAATCCAGTACTCTTGTGACTCAGCTGGCCATAGATAGACACTGCAATAATTAGAATCAGAGATGGTTTCTTGTTTTTCACTGCAAGACATACTCTCCTCACCTTGTTGGTTTTTTTGGTTCTTATGGAACTACATCACTCATACACTGAGAGCTTGCCTTTTAACCTTACTAGAGCTGAAAGGATTCTTCTATAACTCCTATTTCATCCCTTCTGAACCACCACAACTTATTCCTGGATATGTTTTCCAACCCCAGAGTCCAGCATCTGTTCATAGCAGCCACCAGTCTGAGAAGATCCAGCTTTTCTAAATGAATAATGGAATTTTTCACCATATACTGACCTTCTGATTTGCACCTGCAGGTCTCATTATATCATGTACCATCTGCAAGCTTGATATTTACAGAGGCAACGCTTCAGAAAACTAGCTAGTGTTTTGGGTTGATGAAGGTCTCTCAGCACTGGAGACCATCCAGGCTGGTAATACAACTATATATAAATGTTATACAAAAATAAGGAACAGATGACAAATGATTAGGTCTGTAAGCATGAGCTCTGCTCTTTCACTCACTATAAGAAGTAAACAGAGTGCTTCAGAAAGTTGGGCAATTAATGTTCTGTAACATACAGCCTGCAGTTTGCATCCAGTATGGCCTATGCTACAAAGCTGTTTCAGGTTGTCTGGACACAGCTGTAGAAAAGACAGACTAAAATAATTCTTACAGATTTCCACATAGCCCTTTTTCCTTTTTTTTTCTTTTTTTTCCCTCTTCCTCCTTTTTTTTGACTTACAAGATAGTCTATAAGATGACTTGGGCTAGAAGAGACCTTTAAATCTTATTCCAACCCCTTGCCATGGGCTGGTTGCCCCCCAGCAGATCAAGTTACCCAGGGCTTCATCTAACCTGGCCTTGAGAACCTCCAGGAATGCAAGAACTTCTGCAGTCAATTAAGTCTTGTCACAGCAAGATACCCTGCACAGTGCCTTCCATCCTTCCGCACGGCTTTGTGGCTCTGTAAGGATGCGTTTGGGGCATCTCACTCCTGCTGCTGAAAGTCCTGGCTGCAATTCTGGGTTGCAAATCTGACGCCACTTAGACACATACATTTCTGAAGGGGAAACATGCTGCAGATTGTTCCATAACATCCTTAAGACTTCCAGGATGGGCTCAGATACAGCTTCCTGCAGGCCCATGCTCAAGCCTGAACCTCACACAGCAAACGTGCAGCCCGTATTCCGTCTGCTAGATTAAGTGCCGTGTTCCTAGAGATGGGAATGGCCTTGGGACACCATTTACTTCCATACAAACACTCTCATCTCCTGCCCTCGTAGGCACTGAGGTCAAGCCCATGTATTGAGTTCTCTTTAATCATCCCCACAATGGCAGCCTTCGGTTTCTACCGACAGACATCTTAGAGCTATGATGAGATTATAGAATCATAGAATAGCTTAGGTTGGAGGGGGCCTAAGAGACAGACTAAAATAATTCCAAGCAGCTCCAACGCCCTGCTATGGGCTGGCTGCCCCCTGCTCCAGTCAGGATTGCCCAGGGTCACGTTCAACCTGGCCTTGCAGTAAGAGTGGTAGAAGGCCCTCTTTGCCCTTGATTTTTCTTGAATTTAACTCCATCATAATGAGGTGACTTAACCGGGAGGCCGCAGTTTCTCAGACCACTTTCCTTGATTCACTGAGAGGCTGATTCCTGCATCTCTGAGAACAGTGAAAGAAAAAGATTTTCTGATACATACATTGGACACGTCTCACAAACCCCATCTCCCCAGACCACTGAGGACACAAAGATGCTGATGGTGAATTTCAGTCCTCGAGTCCAAGGACGGTTTCTGCATCTCACTTACATGACTGAATAACCTACATTGCTAGTAGCACAGGCACAGCAAGGCAGGGTGAGGGAGGCTACTAAGCACTTAGGCACATAGGAATGAATGCAAACACACAGGGGAACAAGTGCACACAGCTTCTGCATGCTACATCTCACTGAGCTCATCATGGAGGGGAAGGAGTGGGAGTTTCACATAGACACCAAGGTACACCGTTCTGCCCTCTCCCCATGCTCATCCAATTCCAGAACATACCATCACCAGAAGCTGTCTCAGTCCCAGAGGACACTGTCAGACATCTGTGCGTGCCACAACAAATCCAGGCTGTCTGATCTCAGCCCCATTAAGGGCGGAGCAGAGTTCCTTGCCATGCTCCTAAATGTAGCTGCTTGTCACAGGAAGGTGCTTCTCAGTTACTCCAGCTGAATGGTCTTTCGTCCCTGATCTGTTCTGCTGCAAGTTTCCCTGTCCATTTTACCCATGCAGGCCCTCCTGAAAGTGCTGCTGATCTCCCCTGGGCAAGGAGATTAAGAGATAGGGACAGAATGGAATTTGCTCTCAGGAAAGTGCCTGAGAGACTGAATGTTAATTCTCCCTAATGCTTCTCTGCCACGTGTGTGAATCACAGCTGAAAGCATGAGGGCTTCACTATCTATTTATAGAAGCTTCATCTCCTCTGACATCTGAACAGGAGGCGATTAACTCATGAGATGGGCAGCCCCTGTGTGCCTCCAGCCAGCCATCCTTGCACAGGTTTGGGAGGGGGTGGAGAGGGCTGTTTGCAGGGAGGTGGAGAAGTTTAAAGCATGCTCTGTGCTTAATCCTGCACAGCCTTCTGGATTTCCCCTGCACTGATAGCCAAGAGTCATTCCCAGCTAACAGGATCACTATATATGGATGGGGCTGGTGTTTTCCTCCCTGCTTGCTGCTGGAGGCTGCGAAGGAAAGTGAGAGATTGTGATTTGCTTGAAGTGAAGCCTTACCCGCAGCTGTAACCCCTCCATGGCTGCTGAGAATTCTCTTCTCATCCCTTGTGCTGTCTGTCTCCATAAACAAAAGGCTCACAAAACCCTCTGATAAAGGGAAAATAATTTTAAAAAATGACATTAGCGCAGGAAATTAATATATATATATTTATATAAAAGGAGTAGGAACCAGGAGAGAAGTCAAGACAGGGAATGCTCTTCTGCTAACACAGAGTAACAAAGCTCAGACCAGCACAGCAGCAGGAATGGACTGGTTATAGGCAGAGAAAACAATATCCCAACATCTAGCCCACAGTGATGCCTTCCCTCCCTCTAGTTCCTGTTTGGCAGGACCGTGTATTCAAAGCAAGAGCTGGACTCAAGCTCTGGGATCTCTCAGCTCCTACAAACACCTTCATCCCACCTCCTGAATGCACAGAATTCATAGAATCACAGAATCATTAAGATTGGAAAAGATCAATGAGATCATCCAGTCCTGCTCCAACCCACCCCCACCATTCCCACTGTGTCCCTCAGTGCCACATCTCGGTTCTTGAGCACCTCCAGGGACAGTGACTCTCCACCTCCCTGAGCAGCTGTGCCAGTGCCTGAACACTCTGAGAAGAAATTTTTCCTAATATCCAACCTGCACTTCCCCTGGCACAACTTGAGGCCTTCACCTCTCGACCTACATCTGATACCTGAGAGAAGCAGCCAACCCTCACCTCACCACAACCTCATTTTCACGTATATTTGGAAGTGCTGAGAATAGTAGCAGAAGTGGAAAAATCCCTTTTGCATTCCCAACTATCCACAGCAAAAAAGTGAGAGCTCTTACCAGCCTTGCTGCTCCCTTCCAGGTTCCAGTGCTGATGAATTTGGGACTGTCCTGGAGTTGCAGATGTTAAGAACATCTGAAGCACTAATCCCAGCACCAATCAGCCTCTCTGAGCACAGATTATTTATTGGCCGTGCCTCACCCCTCCTCAAGCAGTGCAGCATCTGTCCAGATATACAGCCAAAAGGGAGCATTACTGGTGATTTCAGGGTTCACACAGCACAGCAGAGTGCAAAACTGGGCTGGAAAGGTGAGGTGGAGGGGTGGGGAGAAGTAGTTACACGCTGTAAGCAATGCACTGCTATTGTCATGTAAAAGTGCGTATCAATGCTTTCTGAAGAGGAAGGAATAGTCACGCTCCATTTATGCACTAAATCCATGTTGGAAATAACCTCACGGGTTCTGGCATGCTGTTGTTTTCTTCCCATGTTCGTAGATGAGGATATTCTCTTCATTACCATCGCTTCAAGAGGAGTTGGACTCACTGATCCTTAATGGTGTCTTCCAACCTGGGATATTCTATGACTCGATGCAGTATCTCTGCTAGTTGCCCAGATTCTGGATGGTGCCCAGACTTTCCACCTCGAACCTATGTGGCCCAAGTTTGCTGATCAGGGCTGCAAACAACCCTCCTCACTAATTGCAGTGGGTGAAACTCATCACAGTTTTGTTCGTTGCCATTTGTGGGACCTCCTGTTTCTCTCTCTCCCTTCTATTGACCTCCTCACAATTTCCTTCCCAGTCTGTGCAGAGATCTCCCATCCCAGCCCAAGAAAAGTGGACGTGTAGGTAACTCATGGTCATTACATGACACACACTGGAACTAGTTGATCTTTGAGGTCCCTTCCCACCCCAGCCGTCTATGAGCAGCTTTCCTTCCTCTCAAATGTACACTGCACATAATTGACCTACTCTGTCCTTGCTGAAAGTCCTGTCTTTCAGATTTGCCCTCAGTCCAGCTAACCACTGGGCCTCTGGGCTGTGGAAGATGGCATGCGATAGCTGCATGTTCCTAGAGTACGGTTTTCCTTTCACACCTCGGCAGCCTTCTGGCCCATTTACCTCATGCTCTTCTCATCAGCCTCACCCTGTGCCGTACTTCTGGATCCTCCATTTTCTGGCTTTTTAGAGCAGTCTCTGCCACGGGCTGCTCCCTCAGCGCATCCTCCTGACCCAGTGAACAGCAGCTAGAATGGCAAGGAGCAATTCTCCTTCTGCAGCCTCTCAAATGTAAGCTGCACATCATTAACTGACTGCTCCCAGAAGATTTTGTCTGTTGGAATGCCTGTTCCAACACAGTGACACGGCCCCAGGCTTTGAAGGCCTGCCCATAAATAGCTTTGACCTGGAAGCAGCCTGGTGAGCAGTTAGATCTCAGGGAATGACTTATATCAATCTGCTGTCCCAAGGCTGTTCAGGCCTCTCCATCTCCTGAACTGCAGTACAGCTCCACGCAAAGAATCTGCACGGTCAGCACCATGATGGAGCACATCCCCCATAGCTCCTCCCCATCCGCAGCATCCTGCTGGACCCCCGCGCATTTCTTTCTTCCGGAATCTCAATCTTCTCCTTTTGGAGTCCCTCTCTCAAACTCATTTCCCTGCCTAAATGTGGGGAATGTCATTTGCCATGTTCTAATGGGAGCAAGTTTTTGGTTGTGAGGGGGGACTACAAAGCTGGTTTCTGTAGTGCAGAGGGCTGGTCTTGTGCTGGTTCCACACTGGACAGCCCAAACCAACAGCTGAACCTGTCTGTGAAGCTGGCAATACCTCTGTGAAAACATATTAGGGCAGAAAATGTCCTAACAGAGAGAGTAGGAGGCGACGAGGAAGTGACGCATGGCGACGCAGATATCCTCTATAGCCCATGGAAGATCTGTGCCAGACAGATGGACCTTCTTGAAGAAAGTGCAACACCTGAAACACCCACATTAGTGCAGATTTTCCTAAAGGACTGCTCAGCTCTGCCCCTGTGCTGTCCTGGGTGGGAGCTGCAGGACACCATGACGGAGCTGCAGGGCACCATGACGGAGCTGCAGGCTGCCATGGGGCCTTCTCTGCATCCCCTCTGATCTGGGCTCTACAACCCAAGGGACTTGCTGTCAGCCAGAGTCCCCACATCCCTTCCTGGGATGCTGCTCTCCAGCCTCGTGTCCCCCAGTCTGTGCACAGAGCCAGGGTTGTACCACCCGTGGGGAAGAATTCCTCACTTGCCTTTGTTAAAGTTCCTTTGGTTGGAGATGGCCAGGCTCTGCGATTTGGAAGGATTTCTCTCTGAGGCCTGGCTTCCCTCCAGGGAGTCAATCATTCCTCCAATTTAGTGCTGTGCTCGCAGGATCTGGCAGGCCAGAGGCCCTTTCCAAAGCCCTGCAGGTGAACGTGCCGCAAGACAAACGATGACGACTCCCCAAATTTAAAGAAGTTCCAATGATTTTATTTGGCACTTCTTGTGATGGAAATGTCTCTGCTTTGCTGTTGTAGCAGAGAATGCTGGTAACAAGGGAGGCAGCTGCTGTGTTACATGCCTCCTCTCAGCCCCGGTGCTGCCAATCCTGGGGCTTCGTTGTTCTTTGCCATGGTGTGAGTGGGCGCGGAATGAATTGGCTGCAATGCGCCCGCCTGATGTTCTCTCATGGCTTCTTGCGTTTTTGTCTGGTCTCTGGCGGCTCCAACTTCTTCACAAAGCTGTAAGAGAAGAAGCAAAGATGTGCACTCGGGGTCTGGAGAAGAAGGCAGAGATATCCTGCTCACCCTCTGCTGAGTCTGTGGGTCCGGCTGCACTGCCATGACACACACGTGCAGCTCATCAGCCCAGAGCTGGGAAGTGGGACCAGGCAGGGACGGGCCCTCCAGGCAAGATGCCTGGCTGTCCATAGTCTGCCAGGGGAGGGATGGTCTGTATGGAGTGGAAAGGCAGAGCCAAATGCCATCTGCACCCACCCTCTGCCCCCTCCGTTCTGCCTTCTCACATCTCCTGGGCTGGAAGGCAGCTGTGGCTCAAGGGCACGGCCTCAGGAGCACTCTGCTCTCCACGGCACCAGGCTCTCAGGGAAAGGCAGTCCCACCCAGCTCTGCTGTCAGGGTGAGGGAGGCACTGGCCCCTGCAGGAAAATCCTCCCACGGCTGCCGATATTTACCTGACGTACTCCATGGGTCTGGCAGGAAGGAGCCTGTTTTGCTCCACCTTCTTCCTCCAACCTTCCCGGCACACCTTGTATGACTCCAAGGTTCCCAGGACCTGTTTTGCCCGTAGTGTCTGGAAACTGCAACAGCAGAGAGAAACTCCTGCTCACACCCCATTTGAGATGCTGCCTGCCCCAGTGCCTGCCTTCCCCCACCCCTGCACCCCATGGGGCCTTTGAGTCCCAGCACCCCGTGATGGTGGGATGGGCTTCAGGCTCCCCTGACCACACGGTTGGTCACTCTGAGTGTCTTGCCTCTGCCAGGCCTTGCTGGGAGCTGCTGCACACTTACTTGGGCTCTGCCATCTCTGCTTGAGGGAACCCTGTCCTCCCCTTCTCTATTGGAGGAAGGTGGCAAGAAATCTCCTCGCTTTTCTTCTTGCTGGAGATCTTTTCTTTTTGCGCTCTCTCCCTCTCCTGAGTGGTGGTCTTCAGAGGGGGGAGGCGCTGCTGGACTTGAGATGCTTGAAGCTGCTTCCTTGCCTGTGTGGGAAGTAGAGGCAGATGTGAGGCCACGTCACCTTGGCGAGTGGCATCCACCCAGCAAAGGGGCACAGGCTCGAAGAGTCTAAGTCAAGCTGAGGTTGAGCAATGCAGACCAGGGCTGTGTGAGGCACACCAGGCAGTGCCGTCTGTGCCGTCCCCACAGCACAACCCGTCCTCTGCCCTTTGATATCTGTGGCCTACTTCATCTCCCCATGCCATGGGCGGAAGCATGAAGGGCAAGAGCTGTGGGTACACAGGGAGTCCCTCACGAGAAGGAAAGGAAGAGCCACAAAAGAAATGAGAGGATGAACTCATCTGGAGGGCTCTCCTAGGATTCCCTCTCCATAGTGCTGTTTTTCTTAACCCATCTCACCATTGCACGTACCAGTGATGTTCCCAGCTGGCTGCGCAGAGGAGGGAGCCTGACTTCTCCCTCCCTCTCCTTCATCCCCAGCCGCCTCTCTGCCCAGCTCTTTCCAATATGCGGAAGCGCACTGTGAGCAACACAGGGAGCTTGTTAGAGAGCAGCAGGAGCCTGGAGGGAGTTCAGCATGCCCAGGCCTAGGCCTGACAAATGGGAGTTCAGGGCGTCACACGGACAGTTCCAAGTGCTCTCACCTCACAGTCTCTAATGTAGATCCATCTTCCTCCAGCAGGTCGAGGTCACTTGTCCGGAGGGGTGGAAAGTGGCCACGAAGGAACTGGCGTTCTTGCTCCTCTGTAAGCACAAAACAAGGAAGCTGTTCACAGCTGCATCTCTGAGATGCTGACCACCAGACAGCCATGCCAGATGCACGTGCATCTGCTGCTGCCCTCTGGCCTGGCCCCATCATCTCTGGTGGTCAAGCTTCCTAGGAGGGTCAACGCGCTCTCCAACTACCACGTGTTCCCAGCCCTCCGTTTCACACAGCCCTGCTGATCCCTCAGCAGTTCTGGAACCCATTGCTTCCATGGGTCCCTTTGGGAATGGAGGTGATCCAGGACATGCTGTCATGTTGGAGAATCTGGCATAAGCACTGTGGAGTCAGAGGCGCGGTGACACGCTCCTGCTTCTCTATGTTACGTCTACGTGGTAGCACTGTACCTATTTGCTCAGCAAGATCTGCCAGTACACATTCCGGCACCTCATCCTTGGGCAAAAAGCTGCAAATAAAGAAGAGGCAGTGGTTACAAGAAGGGCCAAGTGTAGTCCTCTGCAGGCTCTGGGACTAAGCTGCTCACACAGCTGCTCCAGACCGGAGCTACTGTCTCTCATCTTCAGTTTTGTCAAGCACAATGTACAAGCAGGCAGTATTTAGAAACAAAATTCTGATGGAAAACGTTAACATGTTGGCTTTGGTTTGATACTTGTTCATGGTTTTCTGCCCACCCAAGTGAAAAAGGGAGGGAGCAGAAGCAGCTTTCTGGAAAATGGTCTTTCCTCACAGCCACTGTACGTCCCACACAGGTGGGAATGGAAAGGGAGCCCTGATCCCAGGGACTTCCCCTGCAGACCACTGCTCCCCAGAGAAGCTGCAGTGGGCACAGGCTTCATGGAGAAGCGCTGCTTGGACTGCATGTGTGTGCAGCAGGTCAGGAGACCGGGCCCGGCAACGGCAGCCTGGGCACCTCTGGGCAGCTTGAGCAAAGGGGCTGAGGTCAGTTTGGGGCTACAGAAGCAAAGATGCTCACCTTGGGGACAAGAAGATCCTCTTCCGAGGCATTTTACCAACAGTTGGCCCCTAGCGGGCTTAGGTGAAGAGCGTCGGGCTTGTGATCTGCAAGAAGGACGCAGAAGTGAGAGGGGATCCCCAGCCAGAAAGGCATCGCTGTTCACCATGGCAGCCAGCCTCCCCACCTCCCCCAGCCCGGGCTCCCTCCCCACATCCGCCCGTGCTTCCACGTCCTGCCCAGAGGCACAGCCCAGAGCCAAAAGTCCACCGGAGGGAGGCGTCCAGATCTGCTTACCACCGAGCTCCTGCACTCCTCCTGTGCACGTCTCCAAACAGACCCAGCACTATCGCACTGCCTGCCTTGGCCTTCACCTCCTCGCTGCAGAGCAGCTGGCGAGAGAAGAGCGCTGGCGAGAGCAGCAACTCGCGTCTGGGCTCACCTCCACCTGTCGGGGAAGTGTGAGCTGGGAGCTGTGGGACGGGGCAGGGATCAGGGTGAGGTGCGGCGCCCCATTGTGACTCCAGCCCATGTCACAGAGGGGCTGCGGGCCCCACCCGCCCATGTCGCCCCCTGCCAGGCTCCTCGCTCCCAGGCTGGGGGGCTGTGCTGGGCACGGTGGGTGCTGCCCCGTCCGCCCGCTGCCTGCTGAGCAAGGAAAGCCAAAGCACCATGCAGATCATGCACCAATATAAATTGATAAAATTTGATAAAAGGATTTTTTATTGTCTTTGACTGCAGCGGCCAACCTGAGTTCAGGTTAGGCTTTCACCTTCCTAACTTCCTCCCTGCATACCTTAGCTCCTTCTTTGTAATCTCCCCAAAGCTTGTAAGGTTTCTTTAAGGTGAGATCCTTCTCTCAGTCACTGGCAGCCCACCCAGTTGCTGGTAGGGACTGAAACAGCTTGAAAGACAAACTTAGGAAATATTTCTGCATCAGCAAACTCTGCTGCTTCTGTCATGGCTCAAGGCGCGCAGGTCCATTTATGTGTTGAGTGGAAGCACAGCACCAATGGTTCTCAGAGAGATGGTTCTCAAGAAACACAGCAATAATGTGTTTATGAGGGCAGTGCCAATGAGGGCAGGAGATGAGAGTGTATGGAAGTAAATGGTGTCCCAACGCCATTCCCATCTCTAGGAACACGGGACTTAATCTAACAGACGGAATATGGCTCCACGTTTGCTGTGTTAGGTTGAGGCTTGAGCATAGGCCTGCAGGAAGTGTATCTGAGCCCATCCTGGAAGTCTTCAGGATGTTATGGAATAATCTGCAGCATGTTTCCCCTTCAGGGTTGTTTGCAGCCCTGATCAGCAAACTTGGGCCATATTTGTTCGAGGTAGTAAGTCTGGGCACCATCCAGAGATGAAAGAAGAAGGAAGGTTTTCTGGCAACAGATTCCTCATGAAGAAGAAGAGGTTTCTGACATGAGCAGCCTCACAACATGCCCCTCTCCCTCCTGGACTGGCTCAGCGACTTCTTCCTGCTACCTGCTTGCTGCCTAAAGCCGCCCATGCTGCTGCTGCCCTCCCCGGAAAGGTGTCTGCCATCAGGTTCCTCACTACAGAATTCCTGCATGCTGACAGACTCTCCTGGGCCTGCTTCCTGAGTCCTGCTGCTTCCTCCCTCATTTTCCCTGCTGCACATTCCTGCTACCAATTGTGCCCAAGGCCAGCCACGCTGCTGCTGCTCTCCCCCTGCGCTTTTGCCTTCACCCATCGGGACAGGATGCAAAGGGATCGCTGCTGGATCCCGGTGGTGACAATCCCCACTTTAAGCAATTCTTGCTTATTTCCTATCTTTTCCATAGCCCTCCTTCCCTTCCCCAACATCCTAATTCATAACAGACGCCGTCCTTCCCTTCCCTGTTTCCTTGATTAGGATTTATAATAAACTGGTTGGACCAACAATTGAACGGTAGTTTCTTAATCTCACACCAAGGATACTGATATCAAAGAACCTCCTCTCCCTCCTATAAATTGGAGCAAGACAAAGGGTGAGGCATGGCCAATAAATAGCCTGTGCTCAGAGAGGCTGATTGGTGCTGGGATTAGTGCTTCAGATGTTCTTAACATCTGCAACTCCAGGACAGTCCCAAATTCATCAGCACTGGAACCTGGAAGGAAGCAGCAAGGCTGCTAAGAGCTCTCAGTACGGGATTTTTTTGCTGAAGATGGCAAGGAATGTCAAAGGGAGTTTTCCTCCCATGCTACGATCCTCCCTCACCCTGCCTTGCTGTGCCTGTGCTACTAGCAATGTAGGTTATTCAGTCATGTAAGTGAGATGCAGAAACCGTCCTTGGACTCGAGGACTGGAATTCACCATCAGCGTCTTTGTGTCCTCAGTGGTCTGGGGAGTTGGGGTTTGTGAGACATGTCCAATGTATGTATCAGAAAATCTTTTTCTTTCACTGTTCTCAGAGATGCAGGAATCAGCCACTCAGTGAATCAAGAAAAGTGGTCTGAGAAACTGCGGCCTCCCGGTTAAGTCACCTCATTATGATGGAGTTAAATTCAAGAAAAATCAAGGGCAAAGAGGGCCTTCTACCACTCTTACTGCAAGGCCAGGTTGAACGTGACCCTGGGCAATCCTGACTGGAGCAGGGGGCAGCCAGCGCATAGCAGGGCGTTGGAGCTGTTTGAAATTATTTTAGTCTGCCTTTTAGGCCCCCTCCAACCTAAGCTATTCTATGATTCTATAATCTCATCGTAGCTCTAGGATCTCTGTCAGTAGAAACCGAAGGCTGCCATTGTGGGGATGATTAAAGAGAACTCAATACATGGGCTTGACCTCAGTGCCTACGAGGGCAGGAGATGAGAGTGTTTGTATGGAAGTAAATGGTGTCCCAACGCCATTCCCATCTCTAGGAACACGGGACTTAATCTAGCAGACGGAATATGGGCTGCACGTTTGTTGTGTGAGGTTCAGGCTTGAGCATGGGCCTGCAGGAAGTGTATCTGAGCCCATCCTGGAAGTCTTCAGGACGTTATGGAACAATCTGCAGCATGTTTCCCCTTCAGAAATGTATGTGTCTAAGTGGCGTCAGATTTGCAACCCAGAATTGCAGCCAGGACTTTCAGCAGCAGGAGTGAGATGCCCCAAACGCATCCTTACAGAGCCACAAAGCCGTGCGGAAGGATGGAAGGTGCTGTGCAGGGTATCTTGCTGTGACAAGACTGCTGACCTATGTAAGGTACCCAGAGGGAGGGCAGGGGAGGCCTCTGCCGCCTCCGCCTCCAGCGGCCTGGGAAGGGAGCCCTGCCCAGGGCCTCCTCTTCCAGCTGGGGCCCAGGGTGCCACCGCGCCTCCTCAGAGCCGGGAAAAGGCCGTGTGTGCGTGCGCTGCCTGGCAGAGGCCTCACACAGCTCCCCTCCGGCCCAGGCCAATGCTGAGCCCCGCTGGGGAGATGCAGGCCGAGCCGACGGCTGGCAGCACGGCCCCGCAGTGCGGGCACGGCGCTCCACAGGGCCTGCCCAAATCCAGCCCCATCCTCGGCTTGGGAGGCGGCGAGGAGAAGCTGACTGCAGCCTTCCCTGCAAGCCACAGAGTCTTAACATCTTTCAGTGCCTTTGGTTGGAGGAGAGCGCACAGATCATCCCGTTCCAACCTCCCTGCCCTGGGCTGGCTGCCCCTCACCAGATCAGCTGACCAGGGCCCCGTGCTTGGCAATGGGCAGCACTGCCAGGGCCTCGCTGCCCTCAGAGTTGCATGTTCCTAGAGTACGGTTTTCCTTTCACACCTCGGCAGCCTTCTGGCCCATTTATCTCATGCTCTTCTCATCAGCCTCACCCTCTGCTGTACTTCTGGATCCTCCATTTTCTGGCTTTTTAGAGCAGTCTCTGCCACGGGCTGCTCCCTCAGAGCATCCTCCTGACCCAGAGAACAGCAGCTAGAATGGCAAGGAGCAATTCTCCTTCTGCAGCCTCTCAAATGTACGCTGCACATCATTAACTGACTGCTCCCAGAAGATTTTGTCTGTCGGAATGCCTGTTCCAACACAGTGACACGGCCCCAGGCTTTGAAGGCCTGCCCATAAATAGCTTTGACCTGGAAGCAGCCTGGTGAGCAGTTAGATCTCAGGGAATGACTTATATCAATCTGCTGTCCCAAGGCTGTTCAGGCCTCTCCATCTCCTGAACTGCAGTACAGCTCCACGCAAAGAATCTGCATGGTCAACACCATGATGGAGCACATCCCCCATAGCTCCTCCCCATCCGCAGCATCCTGCTGGACCCTCGTGCACTTCTTTCATCCGGAATCTCAATCTTCTCCTTTTGGAGTCCCTCTCTCAAACTCATTTCCCTGCCTAAATGTGGGGAATGTCATTTGCCATGTTCTAATGGGAGCAAGTTTTTGGTTGTGAGGGGGGACTACAAAGCTGGTTTCTGTAGTGCAGAGGGCTGGTCTTGTGCTGGTTCCACACTGGACAGCCCAAACCAACAGCTGAACCTGTCTGTGAAGCTGGCAATACCTCTGTGAAAACATATTAGGGCAGAAAATGTCCTAACAGAGAGAGTAGGAGGCGACAAGGAAGTGACGCATGGCGACGCAGATATCCTCTATAGCCCATGGAAGATCTGTGCCAGACAGATGGACCTTCTTGAAGAAAGTGCAACACCTGAAACACCCACATTAGTGCAGATTTTCCTAAAGGACTGCTCAGCTCTGCCCCTGTGCTGTCCTGGGTGGGAGCTGCAGGACACCATGACGGAGCTGCAGGGCACCATGACGGAGCTACAGGGCACCATGACGGAGCTGCAGGGCACCATGACAGAGCTGCAGGGCACTATGATGCAGCTGCACGACACCATGACGGAGCTGCAGGCTGCCATGGGGCCTTCTCTGCATCCCCTCTGATCTGGGCTCTACAACCCAAGGGACTTGCTGTCAGCCAGAGCCCCCACATCCCTTCCTGGGGTGCTGCTCTCCAGCCTCGTGTCCCCCAGTCTGTGCACAGAGCCAGGGTTGTACCACCCAAGGGGAAGAATTCCTCACTTGCCTTTGTTAATGTTCCTGTGGTTGGAGATGGCCAGGCTCTGCGATTTGGAAGGATTTCTCTCTGAGGCCTAGCTTCCCTCCAGGGAGTCAATCATTCCTCCAATTTAGTGC